GGGGAACACAAAAATGACTCAGCCTGCAACTGAAAATATGGATGGAGGACCACAGTTTAGCTTGTTTTTACAGTCTTTATTTTACAGTTAAAGTATGTGTTTATCATATAAAGTCTAATGTTACAACTAATCGGGGATCCCTTTAATAACGCTACTTCTCTATTTTTATAATTTCATGTTTTGGTTTTTATGTGATTAATGCGGTTGTTTCTTAGACAGTGGATGATCTCACATGTGTTTCTCTCATTCCATCTCAAACCACATTTAACCTTACMAGTAATTAAATAGTTTATATACTTTTTAAAATGAGACTGAGCTATCCAATCATTACGGTGATGTTTGTAGAAATCCAGAATAAATTCAGTTCTTTGGCTACCTAAGAAGAAAACACCACTAGTAAAGAATATGAAGTTCCAACTGTTCAAGTAAATCTGGCGAGGGTGTCAGTGTCGCTCACTATAAAAGTAAAGGKACTGTCTTTAAAGTGGGTAATGAGGCTGAACCCAAGACTGTCAGAATGAATCCATCTTGGGAGATCAAGAWGACATAATGGACTAATGTACAGAAAATGCACTTCAGTTTCAGTGACACAGGAGAAACCTGCTWTGAGTGTCAGGCCAGCTTCTCTGGAGTCACTGAACACAAACCTGTGCTGAGTAACACCACCATACAAACATTTGTAAAAGGGAAAATACATTTCCCCACACTGACTTCAACTGTCTGTAACAGTGGATTTTAGTTATAAAACCACATCTATTCCAGTTTTTATATGAGTCCAACTAATCTACAGGAACATRATCTCTATTGTTGTCCACAGGCTATGAAAGACATGTTTTCTGGACATCAGCTTTGTCCTTTTATACCACCATCCTGTATAAGCTGATTGAAAAAAAGTAACTTTGTTTGGCTTCAGTGGTACCTAAGTAATTAAATTTCGGATGTTCTCAGTGATAAACCTATGATTATAAAGGTCATTGTGTTGTGTTGGAACTAGACACAGTGTGTATCTGATTATCTTGTCAGTTTAGCAGAGCTGGAACTCAATTTGAACTCGATGCATTTAAACTCAATCTAGTAGGCAATGACATGTCCCCATAAATAACTGTGTAACTTKTGCATTATTGTGAAACAATGGCAGCTTTGTCAATAGAAGAATTAGGAAGGAGCGTGTTCTCAGAGAGCACTCCAACCTGCTGTTACACAACAACACTTGGCTTATTATTTGATTTAAGAGCCTAGAGTCATTCTTATGGAACTCTGTTATGAACTGGCCCCAATTGGGGCTCACCCATCAGCATTTGTTCAAATAATAAACATCTGATATCRCGTTTTTAGTAGACAGCCAGGGGGCACAAATTCTATGACCCCTAGCTCTGAACATCCAATTAAAATGCTGGATTTCACACATTATGTTTGCATTCTTTTGGATCATGTGTAGCCATCTAGTGTTGGTTCTTGCTTTCTACCAAGACAAAAAAAAAGAATGATATAGATTTTTTAAATCTATATTGGACTATAATTTATAAACCACGCAGGTGACGGTCATTGCTCCATTGAACATAAATGATAGGGACAGGGCAAAGCACATACCTAGAAATAAAGATGACGCTGTTAATAGYACCATGTTTAAATAAAGTCTGCTATTTGGTCCAGACCAAACAAGTGGACCAAAGAACTTTTCCTGTTGTGAATACATCTTATGTRAGAGGATGCATGTGYTGCCATTTCTAGTGTGCCAGTTTGYRCTATTGGTTCATTTAAAATTGATARAAGTCCAATTGTATGCATCATAGAACAATTATTTGCTGCTAATAGGTGTTGAGTTTTGTGCTCCTCTTAATTTATCMTGCCGGAGACACCACTGCCCACCACACTGGGATTCCTTGTGGCTAAAGCCTTTCAGAGGGAGCTGTCTGACAGGTCAGGTATTTTAGTCATCTATGGGCCATGCGACAGCCTCATCCGTATGGTGCTCAGATATATCAAACTCCCCTACCCTGTGGCTTAATGTGATGCACAGCCACTCATTTCTTGACATCAGTTTTGATGTCGGACCACTTTTTTTCTTTCTTTCAGGCAAAGACCAGAATCGGAATCCTGCTGCGTTAACATTTGCTGATCACTGCCACTTCATTTTTTCCCCTTTTCCCCCCTAACTCTGGAATTATGACTACTACCAAAATCAATTTTACCGCTTGCCTCCACCTCTGACACTAGTACATCTATTTAACATTTAGTAAATTTTTTTGCCTTTCTCGATACGTTTGCCATGGTTAAGGCCCTGTCACACTATAAYGCTTTGGACAACTTATGCCAGTTTATAATAAATTTGATTATTTATGTGCCTACGCCTTTTTCAAATTTTATACATACACCAACTTTTAGCTTGAAAGTTGTACACTTTTTCATACACGAGGCCCCTGCTGTCATCATGTTACATCAATTCTTTATTTTATTTAATTTTATTTTTTGTTACATCAATTCATAAACGTAAGGATGCAAAAATATCAGCAACCTTCAAAACCTCCTCAACTTGCTTTTCTTCCAGCAACATCCTGAAACCAGGATTATATAATGTAGGCATTAACAAAAGCCTTTATACCTCCAACATTCACATTAAGTCCTATTCAGAAATCACCTGTGAGTTAATTAAGAAGCTGTATTTGGCAGAATTTTATAAAACTTTATAGCCATAAAAATCYAAACATGTTTTTGAACATTTAGTACTGACAAATTAAACAAATTTAATTAATACAAAACAAACAAAACATAAATAAATAAATAAAATTAGTTGAGTAAATCACAAGATAAAATATATTTGAAAGAAAACCAGTGTCACTGTGTGAACACACTGGTGTCAGGTGGTTAAAAAGATGGTTCAGTGTAATAAAGTTCTGCCTCTAAGGGTTGCTGCTTTTTACTTCTTGTCATGAAAATGGGAGCAAGCAGTGGTAGGCAGCACTAATCTAAAAATTAGTTCCACTAGCCCTAAAACACCAACTCAGATATTTAGGTCCCCTAATTCTAAAGCACTAATGCACTGAAAAATTTAGCAAAAGCTAATTCTAAAGCACTAAAATAACCCAGTCAACCCATGAACATTCTTCAACAGACATTAGTCACATATTGTCATGTTGCTCTGTAAAGACTTATCATTGACATTCCACAGCCATATTTTAATTAATATAATGTCACCTGGTGGATTAGTGACACACACATGAACAAAATGTGTGACAGTTTTCTCCCTCAGCTGTTAACATTAATGATGATCAATAATATTTAAAGACCTCAATTAGTGCTTCTAAATTTAGCCTATAAATTTAGCAAGTGCTAATCTACTAATAAATTGTAAAATTAGTAAAAGCCCTAAAGCAATAATCAGGAAATTAGTTCCTTTATTAGTGCTTTAGGGGAACTGTGCCCACCACTGGGAACAAGAATGTATTAGTGTTGGTGTTACACTAAAGTGTCATATCTCAAGTTATTGAAAATAATGTTTGTCTTTATAGCTAATGTTCATCTGAGTTGTTTCCTTTAAAAACTGTTTGTGAAATGTTATTTGTGAATTTGTGTTGCTATTTTAGATTAATGACAGATTTTGTTACATCCTCATGTTTGCAATATAAGTTGAATGTGAAATCCAACATTTGSAAATGCACAAGATTAATAAAACAAATGAACAAGTGCCACAGATGTAATCTGTTTTTATCTTTTTAAATCAAAATGCAATTATCTTTGTCTGTCTCTGTGTTTCTCTTTGTTAGACAGCGGAGATGGGCCTTTGAACAAAATGTCTCTTCAATCAGCAATTTTCTACCAAACAACTTTAAGAAAAACAAAGACAAGATGGAAAAAGTAATGTACATCTTTCTATACATTTTTGGATTTCTGTGTGATTTTTAATTTGTATGCATGTATGTGCCTTAACTTTTATATCATGTTGATGTAGTTTTATGTCAGTTTAAGACAGTTCAGAAGTTTTCATGATTTGGATGCATCACACATYCGCAGTTTGGACTATTTTGCGCATCAGACTTTGGACTGCAGTTACATCCTTCTCATTGATTTATTATCTAGAACACATTTTTAAAGTCTGTTGTACCCCAGYAAGGTGGTGGGAAATGGTCATAATGTAGAAAGAAAACCAAAACAACCTCATTGATTCAATTATCAAAATGCACCCATTCATAAAATGACACATAATCAAAAATAATAACATAAATACATGCATTCAGAAAGTCCCACAATGTGGTACACTGAATAAGTCTTCAGCTTGTTGACAGCTTTACAAACAAGAGCACTTAAGAGATTAGATTTTATTTCATAACAAATAAAGCGCAGCAAGGTAAACTTACGAAATATATGATATGAGCACATTTGTTCAAGGACATCCCACCAAATATACTTGAAGCATAAGCAAACATTTGCCTCTAATTTATTTCTATATTTCAACTTAATAGCTGTCAGCAGGCAAATTAAAGATCCGGGTGCTGAAGGACGAATCACTTACAGGTGAGAGGTTTACAACCACTACATGAACTTTAATTGTAAATTATTTGCAACATATAAATATGACACAGTTTTGCACAGAAAAATGATCTGACCCTACATTATTATTTTTTTTGTTTGCCTTGTTTATTTAATTTTTTACAAGAACTTCAATATTTGTACACAGCAACATCCTTCTACTGATTTTACAATCATAACTCCAGAGGCATGGGCTGTCTGTCTTAATGTTAAAATTGTTTTATATTTCCTTTTACGCTCTAAAAAGTGTATAGTTTTCCTCATGTTTGTGTTGAACCTGGCAGGCGGGTAGATACACAAGTATCCTCAAAATGTCAACAACAATGTGTTTGCTTAATTTTAGCTCCTTCTCAGGCGCAACCTCCACATTCTGTTCCTCACGTCGGTCTTGGGATGGCAAGTATAGGGAAACAAAAGGATAAATGTGGACATTGTGGAGTTAAGCCTGCTGGATATGTAAGCAAATACACTCAGCCATATAGAAAAATGAAGCGATTATTTAACTTTTCTGAGGAACATGTATTGTTGAAGGCATGGCAACATTTTGGATCATCAGGAGTCCACTAACATTTGAGTTATTTTGCCATTTCTTCAGACTGAGTTTGGATAAAAAGTTTATGCAAATTGACTTTAATCTGATTGCTGATTACTGCAAACCCACAAATATTTACATTTGGTAAAAAAAAGGCCAAAAAAATAAACAAAACAAAAACAATCCAGGTCTTAATTAACTTGAGCTGCCAGCATAATTAGMATTTTGAATTCTAACTTCTTTCTTGCTCTTTCTCTCTGTGTTCTTTCAACTTGGCTTTTTCTCCATTTGCTCATGATTTGATTTGATTTGTGCTTGTGTCTGTTTCTTGATCAATTTCTGCTTTTGTTTCCATTCTGCATCAGCTGTTGCCAGCCTCTGTCATTCACWTGCCCATTATTCTTTCACTTGTTTCCCTCTTGGTTATTAGACTTAGCCATTTTCTTTCCATTTGGCACCTTCTTTCTTCCCCTTCTCATTTTTTAAAATATTTCATACATCTAAACTGCCTTCCATTTTGCATTCCTTCTGTCATATTGTGTTTTTTCTTTGCTCTTCCTTCTCTGTATTGCTGTGCTCAGCTGTCCTCTCTGATAGTATATCTGAGTGTTTTTGTTTGCACTGATAACTGTTTAGCTGAATCCATTCATCGATACTCAGGACCCCTGAGGGCACCATTGTTTATTTTTCTTCGCTCCTCTTTCCACAACACAGGAAGAGGGATCACAGCCTAAAAATGTGTGTGTGAATAAGAAGAAACAAGGGGCTTTACTGTGTGTTTAAAATGAACTGTGTCAAACTGATGCATGCTTACTGACTGGTTGTTTCATAATGATTCCATCAGACTTTATTGAACTAGTATCCAGTATTTTTCTGCCACTTTTATCGTGGGATAAGTTATTTAAGTCCAGGTCAAGGGATGCATTTAAACTGTGTGGTTACATGTCGGACCGAGTGTGTTTCATGACAATAACACTGAACTGTCTATTGAAAGGCTGAAGGGCCTGATGCTCTCAGTTTTCTACAGTGAATGCCCTAATGTCACTGCTTATACTCATCTGGGCAAGCACATAAACTAAGTGCAGGCACTAATACACACATTTTAGAAAGTCCTTCTATCTTATAATGATAACAAGAAAGGGGTGTTTTTCAACTGTCTCTCCTGTTCTGTCTGAAACTGCACATAAGGGCACAAATGCTGACATACACTTTCAAATGTAARCACATAATCATATAGATTTTGCCTCATTTTAAATTAGAACTTGGACCTGGATATAATTGCACTTATACAAACACATTGCACGGTTTCTCAGTATCATATAGAAAAAGGAAAAAAAAAGAAAAAAGTTAAGATGTATTTCATCACTTTCTGCATTGTATAGAGAGTGCAGTAATATGCCGCTTGCTGCCTGATAGGGATGCCTCATCCCAAGGGAGTGGCTGTAATTTATCTCCAGGCTTGAGCGGGGAAATGAGGTCGTGCTTTATGGTAGACTATCAAACTACTGTGTCACRGCTGTAGATTTGCATGTGCATGCACGCACACACACACAAAGTGTGACACTTAGTGGAAATTGTATGAAGAAAGAATTACCACATCATTATCTATACTGTAAATACATTATTTGCAATAATAATAAAGAACTTCAAGGAGAAACTAAGATAAGCAAGTGTAAGAAAAAAATAAAGTACTTTGTGCATCTAATGATATAAATTTGTCCTGTTGGACCATTTTCATTTCAGCAATAATAATGTTTACTTTAGTATCTTATTTATCTCAATTATCTAATAAAATAGGCAATATATAAAGAGATTGAGAAATAATTACAGAACCCTACAAAAAGTTATTTAAGTGAATGTTTTAAGTCATTAGGCAAGTAAATAATTACTATTTCTTCTATTTTTCTCTCCCAGTGTACTGCTCTGTACTCTGACTTTGATTTGATAATTACGAGGAAACAATTTGGAAAAAAGAACAAAAACAGTAAATGATAAGCATTAAGTAAATAGTTTATTCAGTTTTTTTTTCTTTGAAAGGTTTAAAACTCAGGTCCTTTTTGTCCTTCTGACCCTTCATTGTTTCATCTCCACTCTTCTTTCTTTGCCTGTATTCGCTAACAACCTGGTCCAGACATATCTCCCAAAGCTGCTGATGCAAGGACTTTTTGTCCGCCACTAAGACTCTACAATTCTTTGCGATAGAAATGATAATGACTTCCCTTAAGAYGCATTCAGGACCACACATTCATATGAGGTGCACACATAGAAAACTAATGTGAAGGCTAAATTCAGGCACAACCACCTATGCATTTTCTTACTCATTCAAAAAACAAACAAAACAAAACAAAAAACACACACACTCAACATAAACATCTTGGCATTATCCTGCCAGAGAACCCATTTCAATATTCATTCTTTCTGTCAAAGTTTATATGCCAAGGATGAGGTTAGAGGACAGAGAGATATCCGGATTTAGGTTTAAATCTTAAACAGRGTTTTTCAGCTTTCCACTGCAGAAAGTTAAATGAATATGAACCTGCACAGTTTGCATACGTAGCATTTTTAAAGATTTTCTGCTCATGTGAATAMRGAAATGTTTATCTCCATCTCATTCRTACAGGCTGTCTGTCTGTCACACTCATGTACACACACCCCAGCGTGCAAACACAAATGGAAATTTTCCTCATCTTTGTTCTAGATGTGTTCGAAATGCACTGAAAACCACTGCACAGACTGCTCTTCCATGTGTCACCAGAAGGGGACACTGAAGCTCCACAGCGCYGTCCCCACTCAGGTGAGCAGTGTCACATGTGAATCAAGTTTATTCAATCTCTTAGTTTCTGTARTCTCATCCCTTCTTTAACAGATGCTTTATCTATAATTTAACAATTGTGTTCCCCTTTGGTTTTGATCATTCTTTCTCTGAAGGTTCTTYAAGTGTATCTTTAAAAGCAAAGCTAACCTTGCTGAGACATAAAAATAAAATAAATCAGATGCAGTAACTTTGCATATGATAACAGACATGAATGTAGTCATGCACACTCCTGCTTGCATCTTCATATAAACTTTGTTGACATGCACTCTACTTGTGAGCAGGTTTTATTTTTAACAGTGAAACACACACACAAAAAAAAACAGGAAGTATTAAAGAAACAGTAAAAGAATGAGGAACACACAAGACAGAACTGGTCTAAACTATCGAACTGGTACACTTTGGCTATATTAAAATAAAACAGAACCCCAACATATCTGCTTTTATGTTGATTGTAACTCATTTGATTTATTTTACACTCCCAAACAAAAAAGCTAAACACCCAGAAGGAATGGTCTGATTTGAATATAAATGGATACACATGCAGACCTGTGTTGGGTATATAAATGACTTGATTTGCAAGGAGCTGGTGCGTCTGCAACTGAGCAGTAATGGCGTCATCAGGCAGTTGCTAGAGCATCTGACAATCATTGAAACCTTGAAGGAAGGTCACCAGACACAGAGGAGACTTCATAGATGTTTCAGATACCATTACTAGCACTTGACAGGGTTTTATTGGGGTTGCATTGTGGGTTTGCAGGCTGGTTTTATTGTGCAGTTGGTCAGTATGTGGGATGTGTAGATGTCACAGTGACTGGATATTGGCACCAATTAGTACATGAGGGCACTCACACTTATCATGAAGGTGCATCTGGAGTACATTAGAAAGAAACCACTCAATGATGAATGTCTGAGGCAGCAGGAATTCAATGTGGAAGGTTATAAGATAAGCCCCTACATACCACAAACAGATTGAGGAAGTGGCTCATATCAGCAAATGCTACCGGGAGGAGAAATGGATTGAAAGACAGGATGTGAGATGCAGGCAATCAAAGCATATATGGATCAGCATAAGTGGCTGCAATAATGTATAAGCCAGGATGCTGTGCGACTTCCAGTTCCAGTCTGACAGGCAGATGATGGCTAACCAACCAGACATTGTGTTGGTCAACACGAAACAGAAGAAGGCAGTGATGGTAGATGTAGTARTTCCAAGCAACTGTAACTTCAAGAAGAGCTACGTATAAGAAGCTTGAGCAATGTCAAGGAAAACATTCCTCTGAGATTTAGGTCTATATTGACTTGATGGCAGCATGCTGTTGATGCCAATTTGTCATTTGCACATTGATAATGTAAGTCTCCAGTTCCTCTACATTTCAAACGTGATTGTTTGGATTGAAATCTGGTGATTGTGGCGGCAGCTGGAGATCAGACATTTTTCATGTTTTAGTTTCCTTGTGTTAGTTTATTATAATGCAGTTACAGTACTTTTGGGTGTCTTGTGTTTTATTTTAGTTGTACTGTATTCCCTTTCAATGTGTTTGTATTTCAGCCAAAAGTTTGTTGTCTTGAATTACATATCTATCCTGCACTAGCGGCAAACAATTTCCTGACCACTGGTACTCATTTTGTGGTTGGATGTTGCTTTATTAATATACAGTATTTTTTGTTTATTTTCTTGGTTGGGTTCTCTTTTCAATTCTTTTTTTTTTCATACTCATTGGGTTGACACGCAAAATTACGTTTAGTAGCCAGCATGCCACGCCAAAGCCATGCACTTGGACAAAGAGAAAAAGACTGCACCAAAAGGCTCCATGAAACCATAGCAGACAGCTCTCTTACACTCTGTGTCTTTCCAGTGTTCGTCTTGATTTCTATCCTCACTTTAGCCACTAGTAATGCAAAACTGTGTATTTTGGCAGGATAAAAAGACTGGGGATTATGCTCATGCAGCTGACGCAGGCATATCTCCCTCACTCCCATCCTAATCCTGTTTGATTTTCTTTGGAAAGTATGATGGAGGAAGAGGCAAAAAGAAAACAAAAAGAAAATTAATTTCATCATTATGATGAGTGGAGGCTTTCTTCTTTACCTCATCAGCTTGTGTGTTCAGCCTTTCACTCACAAACACCCACACACAGAACTGGTTCAATTAAAGTTCAGTAATTAAGTCATTCTTTGTATTAGGTTGAAACCATATGGAGAAACAAATGAGTGTGGTATGTTAGGGAATAACAAAACATCAACAGATCATATTTAACAGTGCAGAATTGTTCAAATTGTCTTTTAATTGAGCCTAATTTTAATATTATGCCGTTGTTCTTCTTGCATTGTTTTGACTATCATTTGCAATTMGTTACTTTTTTAGTACCTTAACAATAATATAACTTTTAATTTTTTTTTCAAAATATYATACTACTGTAACAATGTCGTTTCTAGTATGTGGAGCCCCAAAATATAAAATTAAACATAAACAAAAGGATATATCTGCAAGCAGTTATTTTCTGGTGCTGTGTATGTGAAAAGCKCAGAGCCCAAAAAGCACAAAGCACATCCTTGCAACACTTCTATTTTAAAGCATTTAAAAGTAGTTGTAATTTACAGTTTTTAACCTTGAAATGGCAAAKAGACTACTGGTTAACAACTGGAACTAATTTTAGTGGAAGTTGCCCCATTCAGATGACGCACCAATATGTTTCAATTTACATGTTCATAACATCTGAATGTAAAAACAGCAGGTTTATTACAGCAGAACCAGATTTTAGCCAATGGTAGGCATGATTTGATTTGCTAAATATCAGATTTGTTTTTCTTTTATCTCATTCATATGAGGGGCTGTGGTAGCTCAGTGGTCAGTGCCACGTTTAAAATCCCGAGGCTGCAGGTTTGAGTCCAGGTTGTGTCAGGAAGGACATCTGGCGTGAAGCATTTGCCAAATCTATCATGCAAGTTTGCTCCCTGTGGYGACCACTGCAGAAGGGAGCAGGCGAACAAGAAAAAACAAATCTCATGACTTTTCAGTCAAGGTCAAATAAAAAATGTTTGTGAAGGCAAATGTTAGCAGATGATTTGATTCATCTATACTTKTTGCAGGATAACGACACCATGTTTATATAACACTGTGCTTTTTTGAGAAGCTGCACACAAGAAAACCAAAAAGGTTGTTTGAAGAAGGAAAATTGTGACCTTGATTTGAAAACAAAAGTTTAAAAGCACATCTGTTCACATACGTCTGTGCATATAGTCATTTTGTTTGATWTCTGGATTGTATGATTTAGAAGTTTGAATACATTACAATTACACCAACACAAAGAGGAGCTTTAGATGCTGTTAGATGATCTGACAAGCTCTTTGTTTTAGAGACTCAAAGGCCTTCAGTTTTCATCAAAGTGCACCTGTAAACACAACTGGAAAGTGGTCTGAAAAAGAAGAAAARCAAGCAATTTTCTGTTTGTTCTGTCTGTCTGCTTTTTGATGCAGACATTTGCCATTAGATGGTCTTAAGAATAGAAAGTCATTTTGACAGATGTGTGGGATTTTTTGAACCTGAAGATTTGATTTCAAAATAAATGTCATAACCACAAGAAAGTTTTGTGGTTATATAATAAATTCAAACCATAATACTTAATTAACTGCATTTTCACAGCTGCAATTAATGTGTCAGATTAAGCAYAAGTCTCAGTCTTTGCCTAATTAGAAAATTACAATTATTGTATTTATGCATGTAAAATGTGACTTAAGTAAAATGTGCCCCTTCTATTTTTTTGAGCCTAAAAATCACAGCATATCCTARCATATAATAATGCTTCCACTAATTTTATTCAGACCTCAAGATTTTCAGCCTTTGTTGTGTACCCGCTGGAAGGAAAACAAATTATTTTATGGGGACACTTGTGGGTGTGTTAAGAGGAGCAGTGCAAGATTCTACATGTTGCTGAAAATGGTGTGGTGCCARAAGCCAGTTGTTAAATTAGCAAGATGGACATCTTTGAGGAGCAGCTCTTTTGGTCCWAGTGAGCACTAGAWYTTCTTTTGTGCAGGAGAAAATATWTGACCRTGCAGWCACAATTAGGGATGGGAAATYGTCCCTATTTTCAGATCATAAGATCATGGTCACTGGCTATCGCCGATAGATGATCCAATCAGTTGATAAGGCATGCACAGTTACGTTGTTAAAAAAAAAAAAAAACAGAAAAAAAACAAAAAACAAGCAGGTCTGCTTATTATGAGCAACATTTTTTTTTTCTTCTTTCTGAAGTTGCTTGTGAATTCCGTGAGTCGCAGGTTGCGGTTTTGGGCTTATTTTTTAACGTGAGTTGCTTATTTTGTGCTTGTCTTTCTTTCCGAATGACTTCGCACATACCTTAGTTCCTGAGACACCCCGCGCCAGGAAACCCCTCCTGCTGCAGCATATGTCACTGCATGGGATTTCTCTATGGGTGGAGTCCAATGCGGAAAAAAAAAGTCAGAGACTCGTCACTCGACGTTGTTTATCCACAAACTGGTCCAGGATTAAGCTCAAAAGTTTTTATTAGTCAGATTTTACCATGAAAATCGTCTGTTTTATCCCCTTTTATGGGTTTTGGCCGTTTGACTTTCTTTATAAATCGCTGCTTCCTGGTAGTCGGCTCTGGAACGAGTCACTTTTTTTCTTTCTTTTTTTCATGCGAGTGGTTGAAGCAAACACAGCGTCTGAGCGCTTTCAGCACAAACAAACACTCTCACAAACTTCTGACCTAGTAGGCTATGTGTTCTTATGTGGAGGGGGATGAAAARTTCAATCTGTGGGTTCCGGCACACTTCAAACACACACACACCAGAGCCCAGAGTGACGGGGAAAAGCAGGGGTGAGGCAGTGCTCTCCAGTCCGATTTGGAACTGGTTAAAGTTATTTGTTCAAATGTATGATTGCCATGGATTATTCGTTTTGCAACTAAACATAATAATATAGCAGTATTTGGGTCACTTGTGGCGCACCAAAG